AAAACCATGTGTTATTCCTTGCTCAGGAATCCGGAATCTGTTGCCCAGATCTTTGAAGAAACCTTTAGATTTTTGCACAACTTTTGGCTCATTCATACTGGTGGTGTCAATCGCAAACATTAGGTGGACAGGCTGTTTTACATCTGAAGATCGATAACATTAATGAAAATATCATACTATTGTATAAGAAAAGAGAAAATCAACTTATACAAACTACTGTATTATAAAACAAGACCAAAGTGAACCCAGTTATACCAGAGAACCATGAAATACATAATTGGAGTTATCAATGAACAATAGAGCAACAACAACATTAGCTAGACTGTTTCCAACATCACTCTTTTTAGACTCTGATCTAAGGGACAGACCATTATTTTTTCTAAGGGGGTGAGAGGGGGTTGGGCAATTTCCAAAAACAAAATTCCTGCGCAGCCAAAACTGCTGAAAATAGGTCAAAATAAAATCATGCAAGGGGAGCCATGGGGAAAAAAATCAAGCTTGAAAGTGTTTTCTACTATCCAAATCCTGTGTCTGACTTTTTAAAAAAATTCTTGTACAAGCAATTACCCACCAAGAAAAATCATGCACAACCTAAAGGTGAGAAAAAATCTCATGCCACAGAACATTGCCCACCTCCACCCCCTTAAAAAAATGATGGTCCGTCCGTAAGATCACCCTGAATTATGCTATCCTTTGAAATACCTACCGCAAGCTGTCATGCTCTTGACTGTGATTGTCTTCCTTTTGGAGCAAGAGTGCCTTTGAAGCTCGCATTCATTCTCATAAGTCATATCATCGCTTCCACAGACTGGCATGTTAGCCTTGGAGCAGTTTGAAGGACACTGACACATGTGACTGAGGCCATCACTGGACCGGCGGCAGATGGAGTAGAATTCACAAACGATAGACTGGCAGGGATCTGAGAAAAGGGAATCAATTAGTTAATTTCTTGCACGCAAATGCAAATCAAGGATGCAATAAATGAGAATTATTAACGTTTCAAGAGCCAAACGACAAGCTTAATTAGAAGCTTGAGCATTAATCCACATAGATCAACACTGAGTTGAGAAACTTGGCATCAAAATAACTGAGAGAGCTTCACTATATTGCTGTATTCTGATCTTTGTGTACGCAATGTTCGTCCAAATATGCAAATGCCTTCCTCTGCAGGAGTACATGGAACATATCTCTTAGCACCAGTACTTCGCCAAAATCCAAAACCTTCGTACGCTGAAATGCCCATGGACGATCAATTGAAGTATTTTTGCATGCGCCATCATCCTAGCAATTTTCTTCTGATGATCAACAATGCGATTATCAAAACATTGACTTAGCAGAAGAGAACCGTTTCGAAACCTCATCCTGTCAATGAGCCAGAATCTTTCAGCGCACAACGAAGACAACAACATGGCACTCAATAATCTTGCCGGGATCTCTCTTGCCTGCTGCGCTCAATCACGATCATACTTGCAGGAACTTTGGAACGGACCTTTGGAACGGACTTTTGAAACGGACTTTTGGAGCCAACTTTTGGAACGGGCAACAAGAACCTGAAGGATGTTGCAAATCGTTTGAAATAGGCGGTCACTTCCGACCGATGCCAAGAATTTTGAATAGACCTAACAAAATGAATGAGTTATTTCTTCCACTAAGCGCGTTTATTGATTCCAATTTAAAATTTGTTTTTACTAGTAACTCTCTGCTCTCTCTCGGCTCGTTCACTTACCTTCGTCTTGAGTACAAACAGTCTGTTCCAGCAGCATCTCCCCGACAGGTCTACACTTGCCACACCAGCCACCGCACTTAGCAGACACCAAGGTGCCGTCCTTGGATTTTTTGTACTCGTGCATTTCAATTCCAGGAGGGAAACCTATCGCTTGCCATTCTGTGGACGCCTTCAAGTGCAAGCCGGTATGAGTCAGGTCCACCTTAAAATGTCCCCTCCTGCACGCACCACCGTAATGCATCGAAAAGCAGTCGCCAGCCGAACCATAGGCGATTCTCCTTCCGAACGGATCCGACTTGGCGAAGGTGAAATCGTCTCGAACGATGGCCATCCTCGGGAGATCCACACGAACTTTTCGGAACTTCGTCAATCCGGCTGAGGAATAGTTCATCGCTCCAGGCTTTCCCTCACACTTGTACCTGGCCGAGTAGGGTCTGGGAGGCAGCCGTTTGGCGTAGATGTAGGCATAGTTGTTTTGCACGCCGGCTGGCAGCGTGACGTATTCTTTAGGTGAACTGGTATTCATACCATGACAGTAGACCTTCATTGGTGTGTTACACTCTGGTCGTACATAAATGACGTACTCGCCGTCCGTAGAGCCGACGCCCGCATTTTTCAAACCTAAACAGCTTGTGGCACCTACAAAATGAAAAATCTTGATGAGACAGGGATATCGTCACTTAGAAACGAGCTACACATCCATGAAACTAATTAACAATTTTTTCGTACAAACATTTGTACGTACAATGTTTTCGTGCAAATCAATTATAAGCCCTTACATATTACCAATAAAAATTCTTACAACAGCCAGAGACGCAGATTCGTACCCAGTCACTATTTGCGTGTTTCGGGAGGAGAGCAGATTGGATACTAGAGTGGATTACGGCGCGCGGGGTGTCTTGGGAAGGGTCGAAATAGCCTCCCGCGCGCTTCACTCGATCCAGGATATTTTCTCTTTGAAAAAATCAAATCTGACCCTTAAATAGCGACTGGGTACGAGTCTGCCAGAGACGCGAATCGGAAAGTTACGTTGATTTTGCATGACGTACCGCACTGCCCGAAGTGGAGTCGTGTAATATCCCTCTGAAATTGACATCTAGCGGCTCTCATGAGGCACGGATTGTTGTAGGTTCTACCATCTGTACCACAGACTGGGTCGTATTGCCGGGTACAGTATATTCTACACTGACAGCGTAAACGGCCGCTTGAATCAGCGCCACACTCTCCACCATACTGACAGTTCCTTTCGTTGCACTCAACTCCTTGTTGGAAAGCTAGTATCCTGCCTCCGTTTTCAAAAGAATGGTCTGAAAAAACGGAAATTGCATTGAATTATATCCTCATGTAAGTCTTTTTAACAACGAATATTATAACTCGTTCCTTCATCTATCGCTTCATCGACCCCACCCTCCCCCCCCCACTCCATGGTTACGTCGCCCCTCGCCCCCCTCCCCCCCAAAAAACTTTCTTCTTTCTCTTGCTGGACTGCCGCTTAGCAAGAAACTAACCTAAAAAAAAATGGTTTTCCAGTAACTACACTACTTGTTCCCAGTATCTGCTCAGATAATAAGCATGGTTACGACATTACATGTGTTGTGAATGTCGCCTTTTCACTGGAAAACGATGTGCAGAGTACAGTATAGAGCTTTATAGAAAGTCCGCTGAGGTGAGTCAAATTCAAAATGATCATATCCGGCCAATCACAATACGTATAAATAAACCAATCAGAATTCATATTGTAAAGAAAAAACATGGTACCAATACCAAGCGTGGAAAAATGTAGCGGGTGCACATTCAGAAAAACTTTCGACGCCAAAACAAATTAATTTTGGTTTTATTCTCATCTGGTTGAAAAATACAGGCTTTTGTTTTATAATAGAGAACATGACAAAGTTTTGTTTTTGTTGTTAATTTATTTGTTTGTTTGCTTTTTTTTCTTCTTGTAAATAAAGTTATTATTATACTAGTCAGTGACGGTAACCAAAACCCTAAGACTACAAGTAGTCCCTCTTTCGCTTAGCTCGTCGAGTGTGACCGTAATTCTGGGGGCGAGAAGCGCGAGAAAGGACGGATTTCGCGCGGCCATTTTTCCTCAAGGTTTTCTTTCACGCCAAGCATGGCGGACTGAGTGAAAGAGGGGCTACTCGTGGTCTAACCCAAACCCCATCATTGAGGGTCTCAAGGAAACGAGGTCATGGCTTCCCACGGGGTTTAAAAATTACCCCGCACGTAACAGTTTTGTTGCCGCTGGTATAAGACATAGCATCATAAGTCGTGTTATCAGACCCATCCTCTTCTAATTGATAAAGGCGGGGCATCATGACAAATTCTAATCAGGTACCGCCGACGTAATATAGAATTAGAACTGACATACCATACCAGAACATGAAAATTCTAAAATCTCTCAGCTGATCCCTACAACCTCACGTAATACATTAACAGGAAATTTAGAATGTTTAGAGTCAATTCAACCGACGTTTGAAAAGGAAACTTGCCGATTTGTTTACTAATGGCTGTTTGGAACCAAACCCTTCTTTTAGTTTTGACCTTTCGTGCTAGAGCTTGTAAAGATTTAGCTAAAAACTACGACTTAAAATAATGCCGGAAATAAGTGGATTCTGCATCAAAACGCTTTTTGTTTCACGTATTGCACCGAAGCAGACATAAACACGACAAACAAATGATACTTTAAAAAAAAAAAAACGTTGATATGTGTTCTCTTATTCTCTAGTTAAAGTTTGACACGGTTTCCTTGTTGTGTGTGCTGAAGATTAATTTTGCAATGGCGCAGTTTTCATAATACGTCAAGTGGGTAAAATGTCATTGTAAACATGTTGGTTTATCGTCGGAAAAATACAGCATAAACAAACGTACAGAACAGTGGTTGAAAGGAGGAAATTAAGCTGCGAGATTAAAGTTCTTAACTTCTCCTTAACACGACGGTGTTTAAGCGGATTATTTTAACAGAAAATTAACACTGTATGTTATTTTCCATCTTCAACAGTCCAAGCTTTATTTCGTTTGAAACGTCTGGCTCACGTAGCTATTGGTATTCTTACAAATATGTAACGCAGACCTCAATAAAAGCCCGAAAGTTTTCGCTTGTTGCTCAGTGAGAGTCCGCTGCGCAATAGGAGATTTCTAACACTTATTCTTTTTTTGTGCCTAATATGTAGGAGTTCGTGGAAGCCAAACCCTGGAAATCGGTGGTCCACCTAGGACTGAGATGTTTTCAAGATCGTAACTGTTTAAACGGAACCGATGAATCCTTGCCGAGAGTGGATTCTTCGGTTCCTTTGACGCACCATGATCCGAGAGATCTTGGATTGATCTGTTTAGAAAAGAAACGGAAAATCCGTTTTGGGATTTAAGAATTCAATCTTGGATTTTCTTAAAGAAACGCACCCCAAGTTTCTGCCATTTTTCTAGCTTGTTTCCTTGTCTGGATTTTCTTGCGGGTTTTTCTGTCACTTGAGTTGGCTGTTTTGAATTTCATTCAACGTTTGAACCATTGCGCTAAGTAGTGTGAGGTATCTTCTTAGAGGCCAAACCGGCTTACCTCCCGAGATCGACAACCTGAGTAAACATTTAGCTGCAGGAGTAATGGACTTCTGGTAACTATTGTCGAACACCGCGCGCGAAACTCCGTTTGTTTACTCATCTGAGATCGATCGCCTGAGCGCGGAAAATATCAACATAACTCATCTACCGTCAACCACGGACACAAAACAGGGTCCCAAAACGACTCGCTTATGCTTGTCTCGCGATTACGTTCGAATAAGTTCTACCGAGAAAACTGGCTGTTTTGGCGGCAGTGACAATTATGCTGCCCGAAGAGGAAAATTTTAAGCAGACCAAGAAAAATACAACATTACGCACAAGATCATCAGAAATTGTAACATGGCGACACAGAAAGAGTTGGAAGTCTGGTTAACAAGGGACTATTTCATATCGAACAGAATTCGAGCAGGTCTGAGTGTTGAATCATAAGTAGGATAGAATCGAAGTTGGTGGCAATCTTTCCCAAACATACGGTATTTTGTTTGGAATGTTTTCGTCTGAGGCGAGAATGCCGCCCACCACTTTACATGAACAAGAAGTGGTATAACAAAATCGTGGTTTGGTTAATTAAAAGGAATCAAAAAGCACTAAATGAACTAAGGTTCTTTCAACACTTTCATATCAAGAAAGAAATCGGCAAGATTAAAACCCTGAAGTCTTCTGGAACGCAAATAAATGTTTGCTAAAATAAATAATTAAAAGCCAATTAAAACTTCCACTTCCGGTTGGTTTCAGCAAGTTCTCAAATTTTCAGATCTCGAGTTTTCTCGCACTTGTTTTAGTTTATATTAGTTTACAATATCTCAGTGATGTTTTGTTGTCAACGGGTTTGAAAAGCAGCACAGCAAAAGGAAATTAACAGTATTAACCGAGAAGATTCTAAATTCTAGCTAGTCCTTAAAATTTGATTAAAATAATGCAATAATTAACGGTATCATTATTTGACATATCTTTGGTTTGATATATCCCGTTGGCGAAGATCGCCATGTGACACAGTCTAGATAAATTCGGAAACTGATATTTTACTCAAATTAATCGAATCCTTGTTTATATCACAAGTATACTCGAGAACCTGACAAAAAAGGTTAATTGAATAATGTGTGGCCTAACGTTAGCTGAAATGAATCCACGTTTTGCGACGAGAAACATCTTGAAGGGAAGTTCGACCTTTAGACCACATCCGTTTGTAATTACGATGACGTCATGTTTGCGGATAAACTGAGAGAAAAAGGCATGATTAAGAGTTTAACCTGGAACTTTTTCTCAAAACCGAGTTATTTCTGTACCGTTAAGGTCAAAATACGATACGTGTGTTGAAACTTCGAGTGGGCGCAGTGATCATTTTTCGCCTCGTGTCATGTACGAGCATACGTTACCTCAAGAGCACGCAACTTACATAACATTACACGAAGCGCTCTGCAACGAGTGGCGGCTATTTCAGCGAAATCGCATGTTGAGACATCACGCATTTAAATTTATTCATACCTGGAAGCGCTTTGAGAACCTCGTCCACCATTCGCATTGTAACGGGCAGGGAAGCAGCTGCGGTCAAAAAACCGCTTGAATGTCGTTTTGCAACCCAGAGCCTCACGTCTTCTAACTTGTGTTGATGATCACAAGACGGAGCTCTTTCAATGGCGTTTATTACAGTAACGCTACTCAGTTGTGAATCTCTTCGATATACATTCCTTACGTGAACATGGGCTGTGACGTGATTGTTTTTTTCTAGGGACAATCTCGTTATTTCCCCAGTGAAAGCTACATAACCTTTTCCAGTAAATGTTGGCAGCGGACAGAATCTTGAAAACTCATCACTGGCAGCAAAACAGACCGTCCTCAAAAAGCAGAAAGCTGCAAGAATTCGAGGAAAAACCCCCGTTATTGAAATTCCTTTCTCTTTCATCTTGGTCTTTTACCACATATCGTTGCTAATCGGCTTTCTGTTGGTTGATGAGAGCACGGCAATCTTTACCCTCAGCTCTTTGCGATTCCAACGGTGTGTTGGAAGTTTCGAACGCGCTACTGAAATAATTCAAAACAATAACGTGAATGAAACTAATTAGGGCGGCTTGTAAACAATGAAAGAAGAATCGATAGACCACAAACCTTTTGTCTGAGATAAACTGTGATTTTGTATTCGTCGTTGCGGCAACGAAGTGATGCTTTTCTGGTAGGACACAAGCGTTACAATAATAAACTACGGTCGATGAAAAATAGTAATTTAAAATTTGAAGTTTTTTCGCTCAAAGACTAGCGCTTGGGAGCAAATTATTCCATGAACCGCTTGCCTTGTCAAAAGAACCCAGTGCAAAGCTGCTCTTGGAAAGCCTGTCTTTGTGGCAAAAATTACAAGGTGAGTCTGTGGGTTTATGTGAAATAATATCCTATTTCACAGCTAGATCTGTCAAATATCCCCCCCGATGAAAGGTCAGTAAATCATTGCCAAATGTATTTCCCTTACACGATGAAATCAGAGATAACACGCTATTTTTAGTTGCATAACACCGTAACACAAACTGGAAGATTCTTTTAAACGAATTGAGCACTAAGCTGGCTTTCCCAGTCAAGGGGTTTTACATGGGTTTGGGCGTAGACCTCTGGTAAATTCCGCAAAATCAACAGAGAAAAATTTTCATAATTCTCAATAGAGGAATTGAATCTAGACTATGATTTAACCCTCATGACCTGCTTTATCGAACTTAGGGGAAAAAATGACAAAAGAAACTGCTGAGGACTTTGAAAGATCAGTCTTTCTTATATACTTTGAAATGCAGCTAAACTACGTTTCGGTGTAACATCACTACACCTCGTTTGCATTGACTTTCATCATACATTGCTCAATTGGTGGCCACTATAGCCTCTTCCTAGAAACGGCGCAGCGAAATAAAGGAGAGAGGCTCGCTGCGAGGCGCGCGACGCCCTTCTTCCCTATTTATACTTGCGTTAATTTTCGCGCTGCGCCCCAACTGGAAGAGGCTTGTGGTCAGTTGCAGTGGTAGCAAGGGAATTTGAAACCAAGGCTTAACTTTGGTCAACTTTCCTTTAGCGACACCGGGTCACGCCTCAAGGCTGGATGTATGTTTAGGTTCATAAGCGTAGTCTATTCGCAAGGACTAGTGTAACAGTATTGAATTCCAGATCCGATTCTCTTAATTTTTTCGTTATCATTGCATGCATGCAGAAATCTTGACTCAGCTCTACTCACGGGCATGTGAAGTGTTAACACGTCTCTGTAGTTCGATTCAGTGCTATAACGTCCAATCCGACTGACTTAGGAACATCACAGAATTTTGGAGATTCTCCAACAATCATCGTAAGATTGAGTTGAAGTATACAAAATATTAGTTTACCAGCAGACCCTTTAATTGTTGAAAGAAGTGAAAGAGCAATAACCTGCGTGGTGAAACGCCCAACTAAAAACCTGACCTGCGGTACACGTACACTAATTAAGCAATACGGCACTTTTTCCGTGTTTACAAAGCCTGGTTTAAACACGAGGGGGTTCGAGACGGTTATGTAAACCAGTACCCGATTGCTTTTATAAACTCGTCACAACCGAGTTTACATACTTCTCATCTAACCAAACCTATCGACCAATGAGAACGCGCGTAGTAGTTCAGTTAACACAAAGTGAGTCAGTGAAGCTGCGAAATAAACTTTCTTTATTGTTTAACAAAGAGGAAATGGATTGAAAGCCAGGGATAAATGCAACGGAAAGAGGTCATTTACGTTGTGGGGCAAAATGCAGACACAAACATTTGCCATCCCATTCAAAAAAATTTTTATTACAGTATGTATGGTCAGGCGCTTAAATTGTTTGGTCGTAACATAGTGTCAGTTCGTTAAGTATCCTTTAAAGCACGACTTAGACAGGTTGAAGGAGTAATGCTACATATATATCACTAATTCTGGCCAAACAGCACTGCCCGTTACTGTTCTTCAATGAGCCATCGTGTCCGAATTGTTTACGACAGTATAATCTTTCTGCACTTCTTTTGTTGCTAAAACATCGGTGCAAAAATGTTGAGTAAAACTCGACCAAAACCATGACAACTGCCGTTGTATGCTGTGTTAAACCAACAAGTTCTTTCCCAATCTGTGTGAAAAGAAAACAGAGGAAACAGTATCATATAAAAAGCGTCTTGAAAAACGACGAGCAAAACCCAGGTATTTTTACAGAAAAAACAAGTTTTGAGAGCTAAACGACATGTCCAAGAAAACAAGACAGTCGCTCGAACCCAGAGTGCAGCCCAACATGCCACTACCCTCTCACTAGGCTGCGAGCAGGCTCACCTTTGAGTCACGCGCGCGAGCGGCGAAGAGCTTGTGCTCCAATGTTAGCCTGCTCGCAGACTACCCTCTCACGGAAATAGCAAACACCGCAAAGTATAAACGGGTTATTGACCAAGCGATGGGTCAAGACGGCTGGATATTGGCCAAGTTTCATTTTTGCGTGTTTCTGGACTTCGACTCCGTCTCGGTTCATAAAAACGCCAACAAGAACGAGGCCAATATCCACCCATCTTGACCTCACGCTTTGTCAATAAAGGATTCATTATGTGGAAAAAGAACACTACTTTCTTGCGAGAAACATTGCGCGGGCAATCACGTCGCAGGATTCGGTTCATCTTGCCCGTTCACGGAGTTGGGCGTATAAACAATAATCTTAAAAAAATAACGTTTTATAACAGAGAATCTCCTACACTAACCATCTTTCATCGTGTTGCTGTTTGAGTCTCTCGACTTCAGCCTCCAGTTCTGCACAAGCTCGTTCAATCTCATAATTCTTTGTCACCAGACCAACCCAGCTAAGAAAAAACAAAACAAAAAAACCGGCCATTAAATTTCTTGCAGTAAATAATAACGAATAATTAGACATGTTTACCTAGGAACAAATCTTCATTGCAAGTGTTAAACTAACCTTTGCTCCAGATGTTGAAGTTGATCTCCAGCCTTTGTCTGCAATAACACAAACAAACAGACATCTATAAAGTTAAATCTTGTGACAAGAACGTTGAGTCACTCTTGACATTGTCCACTATGTATAAGAGCGTTTTCATGGCATCCATATCAGTAGTCCCAAACAAAAGGGAATTTTTGTGTAAGTAAATAACTTGTTTCCAAAAGGAGAGAAAGGTAATGGGTTAGAACACCAACATGGCTACCATGACATCATGTATTTCTGTTATTCTTATATGCCTCTCAAAACCCAAAGTACCTCTTGCAACAGGAAAACACGCATTGACAACAGCATTTTATCATTTCCCAGGGAGCAGAGAGCTGTAGATTAAAGTTAACTGCCTTTTACATGAACCCCAATCAGCACTACTAGGTCTGTGGCATAGCATAGTTACTCTGGTTTCCTTGTTGCTGAGTGACTCATGGTATAACACTTGTCCTGGACGGGAAGGTGGTTTTAATATTCTGGGGTGAAGAGGGTTACCATATCGTATTTTTTTTAAGGTTGCTCATTGTAAAAAATAAACCTGTGGTACCTTTTTGAACATATCAGTGTGGAAAGATTTTGCTGTTAGGTTAGTGGACGCGCAACGGGCGAGAGAAGGTTCTTAGGGAAAATGTTTGATAACACTGACATTAAAGTAGTACAGTATACTATAATAGATTACATTTGAAAGGAAGTTTTTGATGGCTAGTGAGGGGTTTTGTTTTGAATATAATTGTAAATAATTTCAACTTTATGTAGCTAAGGTATATTTTAATATGTAAATAGTGACCCAATTAGTTTTTTTAAGCTAAATACAATTGTCACTTAAAAAGTCTTTCAGTCATTCATTCAGAATAGCATAGTCACAATTTGCTCAAGGGGCAATACCGCAAATTAGTTTTCTTTGCACCCTGCTCACGGATCAGTGGAAATCGTGACACAGCAGGTTACCATAGCAACAGTATGACCTACTAAATGCACCCTTAATTACAGCTTTAGGGGCTTATAATTCAAAAATGGCATGGTGAAACTTTTTTATATCATCAAATTTTAATGAGCATGATAAGACAACTTTAGGCAAAATTTTAAAAAATTCTGAACATAGTATTTTGTACAGAATTACTATGTGCTATGTACAGAATTACTATGTACAGCATTTTTTACAACTTTGCCAAAAGTTGCTTGTTATCATGCTTATTAAAATTTGATGATATAAAAAATTTCATCGTTCCGTTTTTGAATTATAAGCCCCTAAAGCTGTAATTAAGGGTGTTTTAAGCAGGTCATACTGTTACTATGGTAACCTATTGTGTCACGAAAATGCTTACAACACATTCACATATGATTGGGCAGTTTTTTGATACCATGATTGTACTATCAAGTGCTAAAGAGTGGTTATAATGACCCATCAAAATCTAAGTACAAGAAACTATTTAAAGCCCCCTTAACCATAACCTTACTTGTTCAGTTTTCCGCTGCCAGTTGACTTCCTGGATTTCTTTTCTAAAATATTAAAGGATGAAATATACAGTAATAACATTAGAATTATTATTCAGTCTTGATCATATCACATGTCCTTTTGTGACCCAGACTGTGTGCAACAAAAAAATGTCCACTTCTTCCCTTCCTCTATCACAGGCATTCTAAAGTTCCTACAAAGCATGCATTAATCAAAGGAAAATCTTTTGACTTACTTGATGTCCATGAGTTTCTTTTGTTGTTGAGCCAGTATTCTTGTCAAAGTTTCATTGTGGATTCTCCAAGCAGCACTACCATATTTTGACAACAACTCCAGATTTTCAATTCTGAAGAATAATACAAAGAAAATCAAGAATGACAAGTTTCAGATCACTTGACTAACACCAGGATTGAACAGAATGTGAACACATTTTCTCAGCTTAGCATTTTCTCAACATTGGCTGGGTACATGTTATTGGATATTACAATCTAAAACAGGGGGCTGTTTTTTGGAATAACAGGTTTATACTCTATGGAAACAGATCACTGGGGCTCACTGACAAATTCTAGTAACTAAAAGTTAAGTATCCAAGAATATTAACAACCCAATGAATTTACATGTACCAGTATGTAAGAATGCTCCGCATATCCGTGGAAGATTGTGAGGCAGTAATGTAAGTTATGAACAACTGATAAATTTTTAAATTATAATATTTAGAGAAGACGCCACATCAGTCTTAGCTGGTTTTCATGCAGGTCCTCTATCCTGGTCGAATTGGAATTTGGAAATGTTGGTTTTTGTGGAGGGAGGAAAACCAGAAAGCCTGGAGAAAAACCCTTGGAGCAAGGCGAGAACCAGCAACAAACTCAACCCACATATGGGACCAGGCCAGAATTGAACCCTGGCCACATTGGTGGGAAGCAAAGGCTCTCATCACTGCACCATCCCTGCTCCTCAAACTATCAGAAGTACATGTCATTCACCTCTCAGCTTGATGTTCCAGCTGAGCCATGGAGTTATCCACAGCTTCCGTCCAGGATGTGATGTCATGTTTTTGGTTTGCAGTTGGTTGAGGAAGCTCATATCTAATGATGAATAAAGAACTGTTAGAAGCTGCCTGGTATACAAAGCCAATATTGGCTTGTTGACTTCACTAAACAACTAAAATAAGAGCAAAGCTATCATTGAGGGCTGTTACCTGTAACACTTTTTACAACTTAATATGCTTGATAGGCTTTTGATGTTACAGGTGAACTTGCACGTGTAAAGATTGAGGCAACAAGTGACTCAACACTTACTGACAGCCGTAAAGGCTGGCAGTAATTTTAAAATACAACAACACTACATAGAGACAAAAATGCTTTGGTTTTCCTACAATAGGATAACCCAAACATGCTTGTGTTGTGCTGTTTCTTAAAACATGTTTGTTTGTTTCCTTGTTTGTTTGTTTGTTGGTTGGTTGGTTGAACAAGAAACACATTGTAATCACTACTTAATTTAAGGTACAACTTAATTAATCTAAAAAAACATACCTTTTCATGCTTAGCAAATCCATTGGTTGTCTTTTGCTTATTCTCTCAAATTCCTTTTTCAGGATCAGTGTCTAAACATTTGATTAAATCACGTAAGTTAGTTTCAGTCAAAGGTAGTTAAAGTCTCTTTCAATTAACTCACAATGCTATTAGATAACTCTTCTTTTATGCTTGTTTTTGTCACGATTCTGTAACATTGTCAAACCATCAATAACGTTATCATGACCACAACTTAGTTTACAACTGGGCTCTCATTCAAGGTAGTAACTCATAACACTTGATGCAGCTCACTAGGCTTGACAGGCCCTTGATGTTAAGGGAGAACTTACCTGTTGCTGATATAATTCATGCAAGAAGCAACAAGTTTGTTGCGGGTGTGAAGATCAAGATGGCAAGTGACCCAAAACTGAATGACAACCATCTACAAGAGTAAGAAAAAATGATAATTTTTCTCACCTCAAATGCTTCATAATCTGGAGTAGCAAGGAAGTCCAAATAGTTTTTTGTTGGTCTGTAACGTCTTGTCTCTTCTTCAACCAGTTGGTTTACCTGCCAAAGGTATACAGGTGCATGTCATAGTAAAGAATGAGCCAGTGTAAGATCTATGTACATTGTATCACCAGATAATAGAATAATTCTTTTTGTAGCAATTTCTTTTATTATTGTATATGTTCATATCTACATAATTATTTACTCCTTTTATGTTGTGTCTCAAATTAGCACATGTGCTAGAGTATTTTGGCATTTCAATAAAGTTATTTCATTTCACATAGCAGAGTGTTATGTATCTTGACAAAACTTTAGTGCACATAATAATCAAAGACTGAAGAACCTGCCTTGATGCTAATTATTTTGACTGCAAATATCCAAGAGTAAGGATAGTACATTTAACAATGTTCTATCCTACATTTAAATTTGTTTTGAGGGAGAAGTTTAACTAAAGTCTGTCATCAGTAATATCTGAAGTCTCAACAATCTGAGAGGTCAAAATTTTCAGCACCAGTTCCGTACCATCGATCGTAGTTTTCGTTTAAAATAAAACTGAAATTTTTCCTTACAAGTGTAAAAAAGACAAAGAGATCGACCAATCTGACTTCCAATAGGCAGCAACAAGTTTTAGCTTAAAATCCCGTTGTCATTAAGTTAAATACACATCTCTATCTTTGGGTTGTTGTGCAGCACGGCGAAACAACCACGACGCTTGTTTACTTTACGTGTAGTTCACAATCTTACCATTTCTCTAACTCCTGGGTCATCATATCCTTGATCAAAATACGGTAAAGCGTCTGGAGCGACTTCATGCGTGGCCGCCATGATGGATCTACATTACCCACAATACACTTCCATGCAGGAATCTAAAAGGTACCTGGCGGGGAGTTGTGGGTAGTGGATATCCGTGGGTACCCCGGTGGGTAGTTTACAGATACGTACGCAATATATACAGAGACCTCAGCCCAAGTCATAAACCCGCCTTCCTCTAACGGAGATATTTGAAAATAGGCTACTTTTGATATATTGAATTTAGCTTGATTGTAAATTAAAGGGACACAAAAAAGAAATGGATGAACAATAAATATTGTCATTCAATTTGTTTTGTTTGTGCCTTCTGAAAGAGCGAGCACGTCGTTACAAAGCTGAATTTTAACATTATTTGCATCAAGTAGTTCCAATATGCCAAAAAAAAGGAACTAAGGAAGGTGAGGAGCCAGTAATATTTGAGCCAGACTTCTAGGGTTTTTTTATCTTGTTCCTTTTTGTTTTTATTTTGTATTTTTTTTAAATTGCTCAGGGCAATGCAACCCGATTCTTAGCCGGTGCGGGTGGCTCGCAGCTGCGCACTTTCTCTCCATTGTGGAGTGCGTGGCCGAGAGCGACCTAAAATGTCTGAGAATCAGGCTGAAGGCAATATCCTGCGCAAAGCTAATAAGCATCACACGTCTTATTACAACATGAGTTATCAACAGAATTTTTCCATCAAACTTCATTTAGAGTAAGGATGTTTCAGGACAGCGCACCCATCGCAAGCTAAACGACAAACAACGATAACTAAACTGTTGCAACGACTTCAAGCCGGTTTTCCTAGGGTGTTGTTTCCGGCCCTCACACCTCAGGGAATCCTGGGAAGTATTTTATAGCGATGCAATTTGCAAAATAGAGCGAACAATACGAATGAACACAAATCACACACCTCCCCGACTTGAATAGCTGTTCCTGGTTCTCACTCTGTTGCGATCTGGTGAAAGAGAACTAGTACGGCATGTCCAGACGTTCAGTTAGTTTGAGCGCAGCGCGACACAAGAAAAATTAGCGAGAAGCGCAAAGATAGCGCGAAGAATGACAGGTGGAAAAGAAAAAGCCGGTAGTTTGTAAAGAAGCCGTCCTGCCTCGTCGACCAACCCTCTTCGTTTTCGCCCTCGCTGTTTTTTCACGCTACCTCCTAACTAACCAAAGGCACCAAACGCCTGGAAAAACGTCGGGATTCACCAGTCCAATTGTACATTAATTTAAATTTCAACTCTAAAATTCTTGTTTTGCGACGTTTCATTCAAACAACAACATACAAACAGTGTTGATAAAATTGCACAGTGTTGATGAAATGCACAGCAAAGCTTTTTGAATATCAATTAGCCCACCGAATGCTCAGTGTTTTTCTCCACTCAGGATGTAGGGGGTAAGGGTAAGCTTTTTATGGGGCTGAGATAGGTGATGGGCTACCCCTCCCCCATTAAGGGCGGCGTTTTCCTTATGGAGTTTAGTAAGGTATACTGTATATAGATCAGTGACCGTTACATGCAGTACTTGTGCAACGGAAAAGAAACTGAACACTTCACTAGTGGTCATTTTGTGCACTCGCTTCGGATTTGTATTTATATTTAAAAAAAAATTCAATAAATACAATGAAAAAAACCATCCCCTACCACAAATTGCCATTCACTATAAAATTCAACCATACGAGCTAAAAGGCTAGAAATGTACAATTCAGTATTTACAACAACCTTTACATTCAATTGAAACGCGTAAGATTTTCACTCTGCCATACTATGAGAAAAGATTTGTTTAAAAAACAGTTTTGTTTCAAATATGAAAAGGATAAAAAAAGTAAACTCGAATTGCTCAAACGAGAACTTAAAAAAGCTAATTGCTTCTAAAAATTTCAAATGAAATGACCTTGACGTTCAAAGGGCATCTTCGGCAGACAGATTCCCAATTCAAGCAGATAAAAAACTAAAACCATTCGCCTTCAAACTATGTTGTTTTGAGGTTATATTCCCAGCTGGATTTTACATTCATTCTTATTTGACAGGAATTGAAACATCTTTTCCTTCACACCATTCTCTTCACTGGACAGGGACAAGATTAATTGGGAATAGATCTCACAACTGAAGTCACACCCTTGATACCCTTTTCCTTCACGCCATGCTCTTCACTAGACAGGGACAAGACCAATTGGGAATAGATCCCACGACTCAGTCTAGCTGCAGAGCAAACTACGATTACACCCATATTCCTCTACGCCACACCTTTCACATGTACCTCTTTTCCTTCACGCCATGCCTTTCGCCAGACAGGGACAAAACCAATTGGGAAATCATACCACGACTCAGCCTAACTACAGAGCAAACTACGTGTACACCCATTTTCCTCCCAACCACGCCCTTCACCGTATAACCCGCTTCCTTCACGCCATGCCCTCAACCAGACAGGGACAAGACCAATTGGGAAAGAATCCCACGACCCAGTCTAGCTGCAGAGCAAACAACGTTTACTTCCATTTTCCTCTAACCAACACCCTTCACTATGTGACCAGCTACCTTCACACGATACCCTCAACAAGACAAGTATAAGACCATCTGGGAATTCATCCAACGCCCATGTATGCCTTCTTCAAGCCTGATCTATCAACCCCAATGGGTTATTCAACCATTCCTGTCCAGCTAGACTTCAATCCTTACACATCACAAAACAGTAATTGACACTTAAGCACACTCAATTTGAATCTGAATTTGCCCTTGCCCTTTGAACAAACAAGATTGTTTCTAAAATAATAAAAGCACTTTAAGATGTCTACTAAGCAAGAACGTTGTTTAAAACAATAGAAAGTGATTTACATTTCTTAAGACCTATAGCCTCATAGTATATTGTCCTTGTAAAATTCATTAAATTAGTTCTTTGGGCTGACCCTGCTGCAGTGACCTTTATACATATTCTCTGAAAATAGAAAAAAAAGGAAATACGCACAATTAGACAGTGTAAACCTTCAAAGAGAAAAAACAACTGCCAAAATGGCCTTTCTTAGTTCTATAAAATGCTAGCTGTACAGATGTATAACAAGGGCGCCAACCAACAAAGAGACCACGTGACAAACAAGGAAGGCCAACCCATTTTCAACAGGCAGAGAAAGGACCTACAGGGAAAAATGAAGCTAGAAAAGGGCTTTGGGACTGCTGTACCCCTCTACCCTATTCACCCTTAAGCTTTGCTTATTTTCTTTAACGCCCTCTTCTCTCTCATTTCTGCATCTGCCACACATTGTTCTGTACAATGAGTTGCCACAATGTCCCAAGCTGGAATGGGGCTTCCCTCTCTTTGCTGAAGTTGTACTCGCTATACCAAATGCTGGCTGTCCAGCTATCACTTCTTAGATGGTTCAATGTATTTCAGTTAGAGCAAAATAAGATATCAGTTTAATAAAGATATCAACTTTATTAGTGGTTAAAGAAATCAGGTATAAACAAAAATTAAAAAACTGCATTTTCGCATCACTCAAAAAGTTAACAATGAAGTAAATCATGTTAGTTCATTGTCACAACTGTTCGAATAGGTTACGAGGTTAATGGTAAACTCAAACGTTGGTTCTACATAAGGTCATAACCACACCTGTTGCCATAGTTACTGCACCCTTAACTGCACCCCAGGAATCAAAGCATAAGTTAATCTATTTTAGTTTAAAAGCTTATCCTCCAGCAGCAAGCAGCACAGATGACCTTGGCTTTGCTTCAAATTTTCACACAAAAATAAAAATACAAGCACTTTTGTTGCTTGTGTTCACACACTCAAATACCTGCCGTCTGCAAACTTCGACACATTTCTGGGCTAGAACTTCTACCTAGAACACAACATGGCCTTTTAGATTGTCCAAAACAAAGCTTTACATTTTGATGATGCAAACAACAGTGTGCTAACAGAAATCAAAGTGCTTGTGCCACGCTGACAAACTAATTTTAACTCAAGAACAGGAGACATGACTGTGCAGGTGTGAAAAGCACTTGCAGAAAGCACAGAGATATAATTTAGTTTTAAGAGATGCAATTAAAGTGAAATTGAATTATAAATGTTTGCTTTTAAACATAGACAAGTCACACACTTATAGACGAAACATGTAGAAGGTTGAACTTTGAATCCCGATTGATCAAGAATTTTCATGTAGTTAACATCTTGTCACCTTCATTTGCATCATGAATTCACTGCATTAAATTTTTCTGGTTGCTTTCAATTAGAAACTCTAATAAATCAACAAAATTAATGTCGAGTTGGAGCTCAAATTTAAAATTGAAGAGACAAAAACACATAGCAATTTACGTCTAATGTTCTTGCATTTCCTATTGTAAACAACTTGAAGACGTCAAACTTACATTAAGTTTTTAATTAAGTATTTCCTTTAATTCATTGTTATGTTAAGTGTGAACTGTCAGCTACGGCATCCTCAAATCTTAAAGATTACTCATTTCACTTGATAGCCTCATAATTAGGTACCAGTTTAGTTTGTTAGTAAACAGCATTCTACAGATGGCAAACAAACAAGTAACCATGATAACATATTTAAACACGTCAAGGGGAACAGCAGTGATCACCAGGATTGTATTGAAGAAAAAAATGTATAGGACTTAGATATAAATGTGTAAACAGGATAACAATGAGCAAATAAGAGGAGGATGTTAGTATTAAAATAGCAAATGGTGACATAGTGGTGACAACACAAATGATAATGATGACAACAAAACAGTATTGACACAAATATAATGTTAAACAACACTGCAAAAAGAATTCCATGATTTTATTTGTTACATGTTAAATATTTAATACAAAATTTATCAAAAAAATTGATTGAGAGAAGGTGCTATTTAATGTGTTAAAATAAAAACGAGAGTGGTTATGTCTTCAATAAGTCTTGAATGAGAAAAAATATTATTTTTAACAATTATTTCCCTCAACAGGACTTACAAATACATTGCTTGTTTAACGTTAGCAGTAACAAGTTACCAGTAATAACGTTCTGAAGTAGTCCAGTTTCCCGGTTTAATTGTTTATGATCATCTTGCAACGAGTAACCACTACTCTCAAAAATCTAAATATCAAGAAATTGTTGAACAGCAGCTCAACTAATAAATAACATTAAGTAATTGTCAATGAAATTTCATTTTGACACAATAATTTTAAGACTTTCTACAACTCACAAAATGATTTGCAACTTCTGATCAGCTACAGCAGTCAAAAGTCTTGTTTCATCTTAAAAATTAGTTTCATTTCTCATCATTTAAAACCTGTTATATTTATTTTACATTGTGTTCCGCATAATTTATGTGTCAGTAAAATTAAAATTAAATTTGCACAGGAATAAATTATTAAAGTTACTATGAAAACACTAAATATAAATGTAAATAAATGAGAGCATTTATTAGAGATGATTATGAGTCAAAAGTGAAAAATTATAATCCTTTTTTCAGTGTCAGTTTTGTTCTGTAAGGAACATGTAGAGACCTAAGACCTTAAAAACCAAATGATTATAGTTATATTGGCATTGCACAGTTATCTGTAAGGGTTATAAAATGTTAGACTTAACACTTGGATTATTTTAGTTTACCTTTGTTAGTGCCAAGAAGAAAAAGGCATCAGTCATTTGTTATAATTACTTTGAGTTTGTTGGACAAAAACAACATCTTAGTTAACCTTACATTTCAGAGTATATCGATCTTGTTCAAGGCTTAGCACAAAAGTTGAATGATTTAAGAATTCTTAGCTCTGCTGAGGATTGGTGTGAAAGCATGCATATGGGGAGGGGGGTTACTATGCATTAAGTTGCACTGCCTTAGTGCACTTTGCTTGCTGTAAGTATACAAGATTCTGCTCCTGTGCTCCTCAAGGACTTAATTATTTTCACACCAATTCGCTGAGATGCAAGAACTCGAAAATACAGTATATTATTCAAGGAACTAGAAATGTTTACTAGCAGTGTCTTCTACATTGTTTCAATATATCATAGAAAGAGTACAGAAGTTCCGATTTCAAATAGAGTTTAAACCCTGACCATGTTAAACTAAAAAGACACAGTGCATGGTGCCATAAAAAGTGTCAATCAATTCAAAATTTTGCCTTGGAAATTCTCCCTTAAGAGAGTCAGATGTTATATCACAACATTTCCTCTTAAGTTGACAGCAATAATTGTTATAATAATAATTGTTCTCAAAAACTGTCAGCGTTGTCACAGCAAAAAGAAATTTAAAATGGATTGATAAAGGACAACCCTGGCAGGTATAACAAACAAGCTTGTCATTAAACCAGGGTTCATCACAAATGTTCTAAAAGAATCCCCCTTTGTTGTAATTAACAGACAATGAAGCCACTTAATTTGTTAGTGGTCCTACAATTGTAAAATGCTCTCCTGTTTTGAATTGATCGACACCAAGTTACGCAGTGAGAAGGTAGTAATGTCTACAATAATTATCATTATTAAAGAGGATATTGCAAATGTTAAGTATTAGTTTGGTAGAATGCGTCAACTGTAAATAGTTTTTTGTATTCACAGGTGGATGTTACACTGGTGAATATTTTTCGTGTTGCAAGTTATAAATAAGTGTGTTACTATAGCAAGGTTCTGATAGCTCCAAAACATGTGCTATGTGAGTGCAGGTATACATCAGTAATTGCAGTAGATTCCCTGGCCACTACCAAATGAACAGTGGGATTGTTAGCTTTTTTCAAGAAAAGCAAAATTGCTACTCAAATGAATTGCTGTCAAGTTGCAATATTATTCAAATGCGGCCACTTTGCAGGAGGCCAGCAAATGAATTGGCCTTTTCACCGATGTCACACTTTCCCGACTTTTTTCATTCAAACAAAAAATAAACTACACCACTCAATTCATCATGCCAAATTTAGTAAGTATGTGAAGTTTCATTCAAATCCATTGGAACTCATTAAAATATAGGACCCCTAACTTGCATACATTTCTTTGCAAGCTTTGGGCTCCCAAATTTTTATGACTTTGCAACAGATTCTTATAAAACTTCGTAGATTTACTTAATTTGACATGATAAATTGAACTATGGAGGTGGCTTTTTGTTTGTTTGAACAATAGGAAAAATTGTAAGTTGATATTGCATGACATCAGTTAAAAGGTCCATTGCACAAATACACTTGACTGCCAGATAATGTGCGAAACAACTAAAGACGACTTTGGGAAGGACTTTTGTCCTTTGTGGTTTGGTAGTGGCCAGTCAAACTGCAAAGTAATTTCCACCTGTTAACAAACAACACTACTTACGAAGATTCCAGCATAAGCGATTCCTTAAAGAAATGTCTTGAGGCTCTTTTTGGATCAATATCAGGACCAGATGCAATTCCATCCTTCAGTTCACCTCCTCTACTTGACTTCCGTCTAAGTCTACTGAATCGAGATTTCTTTTCCTCTTTTTTACTGCCTTGTGGTGAGGTTGGCGATGTAACATCTTCATCAGTCAGTGGACTTATTGGTTCAGAACTGTGAGGACGTGGCCTATCCTTGTCCATTTCTTTATCCTTATTTTTGTCGCGATTATTTGTAAGGTCTCTGCCTATGCTCAAAAGATCTGTCAGTGACATGCTCTTTTTTCGAGAATTCAACATTGGGGTATGTCTCTCCTTTTTGTTCTCCGTCTTTGAAATCGAGTCTATGAGATCTCCACTCACAGAATAATGTGATTTATCTGGCTTAAGAGGAGCTCTGGAATTCTCTGAGCTCCGTTTGCTGAGTTTTCCCAATCTACAGTTACGTTCTTGATTGCCAGAGGACGTTCCGTCAGAGGTCACACCACCTGATGCAGCTGACGCATCCCGAATTTTCTGTAAAATCCCGTTGAGATCATGATCTGATTTCTCTTGGCTTCTTTTTAAATTCTCAGGTCGTGACTTTCGTGACACGACTGGAGAAGATCTCCTCGGTAAAGTGGAACGTTTGCGCTGTGGTTCTGTTGGAGTTATGGCTGACTGAATCTTGTGCTGTGCAATAAGTTGAGATTTTATATGTGGTGTTTGTTTTGTGGGTCCATTACTTTTGAGCGTTGATTCAAGTGAGTCTGACAAATTCTGTAGGGCTTGAACTCCTGTTGTCTGGCCTGGCTGTGAAATGAGAAGGTCTGTCGTGGATGATGAATCATCTTCAGAACCCTGTGGTTCCTCAAAAGAGTTCTCTTCTTGTTCACTTACAGGATCACAAGCATCATACTCATTGTTAGACACACAAGGTGAAACTTCTTTTTCAGGTGATGATGGTGGTGTGTCCCCTTCTGTGAGAAGAGAAGATGATTCTATTTCAGAGTTATGTTCTTTATTTGGAGATTGTGGTTCATTTCTGTCATCCGTTGTTTGTTGTGGTTCTGGTGAAGGCAAAGATGGGAAATCAACAGATGAAGTTGGTACTGGTGACTGAATCTCTGAATCACCAACGGAGTCATTTAATGACGCAGAAGACGATGTTACGGAACCATCCTGCTCTTCAGCAGCTCTCCTCTTCATAATAATACCTTCTCTCAGACTTGACATCCGTCCTGGTGTAGGCCCTTGAGGGGCTGACGAGGAACGTGATAACGAACTAGAATCAACAACTCGTGGTCTTTCCTTCTGTGGTGCAGAAGAAGAACGTGAGATCTTCCCAATTGATTCAGACCGTGGCCTTGCCATTGCACCAAGTAGTGCTGGTTCTTCATCTATGTACAGTTCTGCCTGTGGCTGCCTAGCAGCAGCATCTTTCTCCTCAGTCTCACCATCTTTACCTCTAATCTCTGATGAATGTGTGCTGCTTGCAGAGGTCACCGCAGAGTCGGAGCGCACACGAGGATTTAAAGTTGGGAAACTAGACTCATCATCTGAGTCTGATTCGACTGACATAATTGATGATGCCGAGGAGCTGCGACGTTTCGGCCGTGAAAATGATGGAGAATTTCCCAATGGCGTGACCAGACCTGAGGGACTCACCAGGTCACTATCGCTTGTGCGTTGCATTTGTATCATGTTAGACGAACCTTGTCCTAACTTGGCTATCATTAACAATTTCTAGGAAATTAAAAACAGAACAAGACACATAAGATAATGGCACCCAACTGTAACAGCAAAATTTTCTCAATAATCTAAACACTGAAATTGATAACTTCCTGAATGACCATGGTCACTAATGAAGATTACACTGCTACAAGATAACAAAGACAGCTAGGGATTAATGTAGTGATATTATTACTAAGTACCTGGGCTTTTTTAATTGCATCCATCCACTCTTTCTGATCAGCCACAGATCCCTGGAGGGCAAATGCTTGTACAGCAATGTTGTACTCATTCACATAAATAAGCAAGAAAGTTCCTTGAGAGGAAAATAAAATACAGTATTCTGTTAGCTACATCTGGTCGTCAGGGTGACATGATAAAAAAGGTTTAGCGAAAACACAACTAAAGGGGAAATGTAAGGAAAGTAAAACCAGTATTAGAACGGAAGAAAATGGTGGATCTAGCTGTACATGTACAGGACATTAAAGAGAAATGAAGAAAGGCGCATAACAAACACATACAGCTAATCATTAGAACACAATTTTTTCTCACAAAACCGAGAAAATTAACAAAAGTTCAGAACATCCGCTTGTTAATACCTTGGTCCTTAGAGTTGCTAAGAAAAAGCTTGTCTACTTGGAGAGGCTAACAATGAAAAAAAAAGACAGCACAGCAATGAGACTGGTACAGAAAAAATAGTTTTGCTAGAAAAAAGTTAAAAAGTTGACTCCCTAACTCCCCACAGCAAGACCATCAATGTTACGTTAAATTATGAAAACAATTCCATGGTCTATGTACAGTGTATACCACAGTAGTGGAAGGGCCAAGAAGCACTACCCATCACTCCCCACAAGAAAAGTTAAATCTACACTGACACCCCCTACCCCCCAATTGCACCTCCAGTTTTAAAGACATCGGCACTGCCATTGTAGTGGTCTAGGTAAGATTCACTTACCGGTTTGATGACTTTAAACTTATCGCCTTTCTTTGCTTTGGTTATAAGAAGTAAATCAGTAAATAAAAAGACGTAGACATCCGTCTGTAAAAAGGGTGCAAAAACAAAGTGAGACCAAATTAAATTAACCCCATTCTTGGGAAAATATCTACAGAGAAGTAAAGAGGGAGGCGCAGTGGGCTCATGGTTAGTGCGCTCGCCTCCGGATCGAGCAGTCCAGGTTTGAGCCCTGGCCGGTGACATTGCATTGTGTTCTTGGGCAAGACACTTTACTCTGACAGTGCTTCTCTCCACCCAGGTGTATAAATGGGTACCGGAGAACTCAATGCTGGGAGCAACCCTGCGATGGACTAGCATCCCATCCAAATACTCCTAGTCACTTCATGCAACAGAAACCAGGATAAGCTTTGGTCTGAAGGGCCCCTTGGCTCGTATGCAGAAGAAGTAAAGAGTTTCAAAGTCTTAATGCCCTTTTCCAATCAAAAACAAAAATTACCATCAAACTACCACTAACAGTAGCTTGCCTACAAAGGCCAGTATTTTCCTTAACCACAACCATGAAGGTAGTCATAATTTACTCACACTCAAAATGATACAACAGTCAGTTAATTCCTTAACTGCATATAGCAAAACTTTCAGTTTACTCCAACCTTGTACATGTCTCAATATTTTACCTCAATATTATAGTAGGGACACAAACCATCCAGATTTGATTTTAAATGAAAATGTAATCTTACCTTTCCCTGCTTTTCAAGCAGCCTCAGAGGCCCGTTATGGATAACAGTACGATGCTGATCATCAGTCAAACCAGGCATTGGTCGCATTAAGTCGTATGAACAGTAATCTTGGAGAATCTGTGGCAAGCCATGGAAAACAAAAATGAGAAGTACCAAAGATAAGGAAAAAACACGCTTGAATAATTCTCTTTGCTGATCAACCGCTAAACTTTTTTTGATGTTAAAACAAAGTCATTAGTGCTAAAGAAATGGGTGTGCTACATTGGCCAGCAAGTGAAACAATAATTTAAAAGCTATTTATCAACTTAAGGTAAGTTAAGTGCTGTTAGTAACGAATATGTGAAGCTCCGTTTTTGAGCATTAGTCCTTTGTCAGAGCAAACAAAAGAGCACTTAGTGTAGTTCTATATAATGTTTCTTCTATTGTTAGTTGCTTGTTGTACTACTACTGTACATGTAGCTGTGACAATTTGATGGTGCATCAAATCCAAAGGAATTTCTCCAATTTATCATCTTCATACACGTAGATGTTCTCATCAGCTCTCTGGCTTATAATGTATTCATTTGATATTGTATGCCTTAGGATAAAATAGATTTTGATCACACCTTTTCCATCTCCTCATTTACAGCTTCCACAACATTGTAATTGTTGTGAATCCTATCAGCCGTGGTCTTGAGTTTCTCCAACTCATGCCGCACTCTCATGGCACCATTTACTTTGCTCACAAAAGCTTCCACTTTGTCTCGCTGAAAGCAAAATAAGCCAATGAAGATTTCTACCACAAGAGGTTAGTATCAGAAACATCAGGGTATTCAATGTAAATTCCATTTACCCTCAGTTTCAAGAATTGTTAATATCCAAATTTGCACATCAATTTAAATTCGAATTTGAATTTGTGCAACTTTAATTCCAGCTTGCCCTTCAAACAAGCAGCTCTCAAACTTTGCTTTCCTGGTGAATTCTTAGTTTGCTCTTTTTTGATTTAGTAACCACAGGACTTTCCTGTTTGCTTGCCTATCGGGCAACTGAGAATGAAAAGTTACTTGCCCAGCAGGAAAATCTACTTGTCCCAGACAACTAGATCGCACTTTTTTTGAGTCCTGTAACTTCATTAGTTAAGCCCTGACCCTTTCATCTATGTCTATTCAAATCTCACCATTCTATTGATAGGTTCTTTCATATCGTCATCCAACGTTTTGTTGTAAATAGCCTTCAGTAGCAGGGGATATTTTGTAACTCTTTGCATGGGCTTCACCAGCAAATCATTCAACTTCAGTCGATCAGTGCAAGACCTGTGCTCTTCACACCACTGACAAGGAAAAAAGACAACAATATTATAGAATGATGATTAAATCAGAATTAATGATTGGCTTCTTCTCTATCTGGAGACTTGTCACAGGCAAGGTATTATGATGTATACAGGAGACAGCTAGATCATAGAGAGGTCAGTTACAATTGGCAATTACCCTTACACAGCTTGCAGAATCCGAGTCCAATTTCATAGGTCTGGATCATTTCAAATTTCTCTACATTGCCCTCACAGAACCTTCATTGCTTTTGGAAGGCTTTGGAGAAAATTTCAAACTCCCAAAAAAACTCACTGTCCCACTCAGTTTTGGGTTCACCTTTTGCCAATTTACGGCTGTGCATTTTTTTTTTTCTTTTTTTACTAAACCGAAGAGGAAAGGCAACACGACCTTTATTGCTGATAAAAGGCAAAAACAGATTACAATGATCCATGGTAAAACATTACTGCCTATAGACTTCTTACTGTGATGTATGCTTTAAAGTCTTCACTCTCAATAAGTTTTTCTTTGAAGTATTTCAAGCAGTTCGCTTCTTCCATGCAGTAAGTGGTGTAAGGATCAAACTGAGTTTCAAACTGCAAGAAAATTAACAGAATTCATGTTTCAATTTCTAGGAAGGAGACTAACAAGAAAAGGTGTACATTAATATTATTTACAAGTTGAGCTTAGACAACCTCAGGTAAAATAATGATACAGGTGATGCAATTGTAACAAGTCTAATTAAAAATGTTCAATTTATTTCACATTTGTAGCATTAATATTGTAAAAGTAAATTTTCCACTTACCATGTTGAATCCTGCTTCCATTTCTGATGGATTCACAGGATCCTTTGTTTGTCTTGCCTGTAGAAGAAAAAATGCAGATATACTGCTTAAATATAAGGGTCTTTAATCATGCACTAACAGCAATAATTACAATAAAAATAGGTGTTCATAATGGATTTTAATTTACTAGCTAGGGATTGGGAAACGATGATTGATGGGTTCTCATCAGGATTTACCATGTCAATTTCAACTGCCCGCAAATTGATAGCATTTTATTAAAGCAAATGTACTCACATTTTCAACGGCCTTGCTGAGATACTCCGTCCAAAATTCAAAATTGACTTCATAAATTTCTTCCACATTACTGAAAAGCTTGAACGCTTCAATCTGCTCAAAAAGAAAAATTGATCCCATTAAATTAGAAATGATATCAGGATGTAAGTCAGAGTAAGGTTATGGAAGCCATTTGATTCCTCAATTTAAGTAACCACTGCCTTAGTAAAAGATTACGGTAATTCTCCACGCCCATCCCCATGACTTAAATAACTTTGTTTTGGAATTTACAGTTTCACAAATGCTCCACATCCAATATGTCACTTGTTCAGAAACATCAAGAAAATCTTACCTCTGCTAAAAATCCTTCACTTTGTAAATTTCGCAGGCACTGGAGAAACAGCTGCAAACAAAACAAAAATTGTGGAAATTTTAACCCTGAGGCACATCTAGTATACCATCACTAGCTTAGCACAACTGGTCGGGTGATTTGAGAAGTGTCCACAAAGACCAGAATAGGATAACACTTTGTCTAGCACATATATGGGGGTGTGCCTTCAATCTGCACTACATGTACATAAACTTGAAAACTTCTAAATTCTTTCAATTGTTTTTAATAATGTTAAAGAAAATTTAAAATACACTGGAATGCCAAATAAATATGTAACTCTGCTCTTTTTTTTAAGCATTGTGTAGTTCCAGAAAATATCCATACCTCAACCCATGATGGTTATGTGGTTTGTACTCCCTCTCCTCCCCCCTGGAATTTCCAGTTTAGCTTCATACTTTCCCTTTATATAAAAATTTGGCAATTACGACCCCCTCCCCAGGCTCAGAATTTCCAATGACCATCCTTGGTGTGGGTATGGATATTTCCTAGACCCAAACATCAAAAGGAATGTGCCCATTATACTCCTGACTGGTTAGGGGCATCACGGCAGTGAATTGCCCTGGAATACAACAAATCCTTACTTTTTTGATAACATAAAGTTTTGAGATGTATGCTGCTTCTGTTGATAACAGCTCCCAGATGGCTTCCTGCTGGTCCTTCTCTTTCTTCGTCATTGCCTGAACAAAATTGGTTTGAGAAAAGAATTTGAGCATGTTTTACAGCTGACATGTTGTGACGTGAGTTAAATGCATAGCAAACACACACACTTCAGTCGGTATAATTTGATGACTTCACATAAGTTTTCCAGACCTTTAACGTAAGGCACTTCCCCCACATGTTGACACTCAAGAGTGCACCTTTTCAATGTACAACCTACACTAGAACATGTATATCTAAGAATAGATGTACTGCCTCTCCTGAATGGATAAGGTTTGAGTCCGCACCAGGGTGCCCACGATTATAACACAAATAAAGGGATAACGATTATAACACAAATAAAGACCCAGAGAATAATTAAAAGTGACTTTTTACCTCAATACGGCTTTGGTCGACAAGTTCTGTCCATGAAGATTCCTGTAGAAAAATATCAGAATTCAACAATGTCTTCTGTTTTACAATAAGCCAGTCAATTAATGCACAAAACTGGAAAAGAACGAGGCATTATTACAAAAAGTATTTCCTCCCAGTGTGAACCATAAATACATAACTGATTCAGTGAAATGTGAGCTTTATAAAGTACTCACAAGTTTGATCTGATCTTGAATCTCATTCTTAAAGCCACAATCATAGTCAGCAGTAGTGTCCTCCAGGCCATACAGGGAATAACGCTCTAAAGAGTCCTTCAGAGTTCCCTGAAAAATAACCAGGTGAGTGTAGTCTGTCAGAGATGCTACATACATTTTCAGCGATTATTTTAATCTGCAGACTCCACAGAAATACATGTATAATCCCACAGAATTAACAGACTACACATTGGGTTGCTGTACAGTGCAATCTAGATTTTTAAAACAACCTTGGGGAATATCAATTGGGAAAAAAATTAGGAGTAAAGAACTGGAGAAAAAGACTCATGAAGAAGACTGGGAGGTTTAACAAAATGACAGTTCAAAAGTGTGGATTCCATGGAATAATTGCGAATCGACACACAGATTGCACACAAAATTCTTCAAGCATAACAAGCAACCAACTAATTAGCATAAATACAATCAAAACTAAAGACATTTACACATATAATCTCTGTACCTTGATAGTTTTGGGTTGGTTGAACAGCCCTGTTAGACGACTGCTGGCCGACTTGGGTCGCGGCAAAGTCCCAGTTGCACTTGGATGAACTCCACCAGGAAGAACTGGACTCGAAAGCGATGGTGGCATGGTGCCTCCAAACTCTTTGCCAAACAAAGACTCCATGTTCTTTTTCCCCTTCTGTGTCTAATATCAGAAACACAACCATTTGGAGCTGTGAGATATGCTGCATGTAAGACAACATCACTGTAACAAAAAACTAGCAATACTATACAGTGATAAGAACAAACAAAGAACTTACATTCTTATTGAACTGTTGAAGTATTCTTTCATCTTTAGAGTTTTCTTTCTCCTTTTCATCGTTACTCTTCACCATGCCCTTGTCTTTACCCTTTGTTGTGAATGAGCCAGACCGTGCCATGAAGGAAGAACTTTTTGGCCGAGGCTCATCAGCATTACCCTTGTCTTCAGCATACGAATCTCTGACAATATTTATCACCCTCTCGTCAACTTTGAAATCTTCATTGGCTGAAGAAGAAAACAGCATTAAATCTTGAACATATTTGAAGTCAATGAACAGAATTTTCACACAAAGATTTGCTATTTTTATACTTACGACAAACAAAAAATGATAAGTGGATAACTAAAGATACTGTATTTGTCTGAGATGGCCACTCAGACAGATAATAACTAAGGCTAATTCACATTACATGAAACTGTAGCAGTTGTGATAACAAATTGAAAATAATCATAGCAGACAAATCTAACTCTGGCAGCAAAATTAAATCAAACTGTATAATTTTAATACACAACTTTACCTGAAACATGGAAAAGCTATTACAGCCGTTTTTAAACCAAAACTGCAGATATTAAGAATATATATATTTTTTACTTATATTTGTGTGCAATGAATGTATCAACCCCCAATCAGGGTAGGATGACGACATATTGCTCATTTTAACCAAAATATATATAGCCAAGTAGAACAAGTACCATACCTCTTACATGCAGAACATTTCCTCCCAGCGGAAAAGTGTCAAAAGCTAAAGGTAGAGGTGTATTTGAGGAATCCAAGAACACAGAGTGGGTGGTGAATGAAATATCTTGGGCCTCAAAAAGAGGTTCTAAAGAGTCCCTGTAATAAGGAAGTTCAAAACCAAATTAAGAGCATGAACCACCAAAATATAATACAAGTTCTTGTATTTAATTTAGGCCAGATCACAGCCAGCATATAATTCATTTAGGTCAGATCACCACAACTGAGGATATATGAGTGAGCGAATTACAGATTTTTTGGAAACTTATTACATTGTACATGTATGTCAATATGGAATGGTGACAGCAGAATGCTGTGTGTAATAAACCACTCCTCTTCTAAATAAAATCTAATTTAAATCAAACATAGAATCTCCCAGATTTAACTATGTACAAATTACATGTTGACACCAGTTAGTGCTCAGAGGGTCTGGCTATGACTACAGTACTGTCCGTGTACATTGTAGATGGCCAAATATTTCATCTACACACACCAAAACTTAGGTTTATGAAATAGGCACTGCTAAATAAATTACTTAATATTTAATTGATGACTAAAACTTGAAACAGACTTTACTGACCTTAGAGACTTTCCCTTCAATGCAGGTACCACGTCCACATGGAATTCTCCACTTCTATTGTCAAAAAATTTGATACTAAAAAACTCCCTCCCAGGATCCTAAAAAAAGAAAAAAAAAACTTATAAATAGCTAAAAATATTACTAACTACTTATTAACTGAGAGTAAGGTCACTACTGGAAAATCTGAAACCAAGACTTTGCCATATTGATCAAGCAATGGCAAGGTCAATATGGCAAGGAAAAGGTTTGAGATTTCCCACGATTGAAGACCGAATGTTCCAGGTTAACAAGATGTTCATTATATGGCTTTTTGCTTTGTCACGAAATCAGCCCGTGGGCATTACAGAAAAATGATACACAAGAACTAGCCAATCAGACCATGCATTATATCAGCAACAAACACAAGCCATATAATAAATTCTAAATATTTCATTTAATTTTTTTCCAAGCATAGAATTGACATCACTGATAATTATTATAATTACAATTGAATTATATGTAACTTGAACTGAAATGATCAGAATGACGAGTTAAATATTTTGATTAGCCTTTGAATTAACTAGTAAACATTAAGTAACTTATTTAAAATTGGATGTATGATAAAGTAACAAATACACAGAAGTTAAATTGGATACACATGACATCATCAATATTGCTAGACAAGTGAGAGTTAATTATATTTAGCAAGAATTACAAGTCAGGAATTATTATAATTGGCAAACGATCCTCAATTTCACTACAAAGGCTTTGAAAGTCAAAAAACTGTTTTTCGGTTGGATTTAAGTACATTTACACTGATTCACTACATGTAGCCAGTACTCTTAACTTTAAATTTACAGTGAGGAAAAGAAACAGCTGATCCAAAATGAAAGAGGACTTAAAACACAATTTTTTGACAGTGTAGTACACTGCTGCTCAGTACTTTAACTAATTCTTAATTCATTTAGTACAAACTAATTTACCGTGCACCAAAATGTCTGTTTCAAAAGCTTGAGGGACCATAAAATGTCCATGTAAAAAGCAACTATGGCCAGAATATATTGAGACCTAAATGCAAACTAAGACAGTCTGCAAATTCTATGTTGTGGTACGTAGATTATAAATTTGAAGACACGTCAAGCATGCAATGAAATAAAATAAACTTATCCCGGGCGGCTGGTAAATAAAATGTGTGATAGACTTATCTTATCCATTATAACAACAAACTGTTCTGCTGTAAAAATATTTGCACAACTGACATAGCCATGACAAAGCTGCTTTTTGTCGAATACTCACTTCAGTATTGTGTCTTCGAGGCTTCTTTTTAGCTGCAGCACTCAACTTGAACATACGCTTCCCAGAAGAATAGCCTCGATTCTTTTTATCTCTGTTGAAAAATAATCACATTAGACATCAACAACTACATCGTTTTAAATGACTCTTTGATAGACATCTAGGTTACCAAATATGGCAGAGGAAATTATAGAACCTAGATGAAAACCAATATAGCCCAAAATGCTGCCAGCTTCTCTGTTAAATAAAGAGGACACATTATTTCGTATAATATTCAAAGTTCTTTACATCAATCAATAATCAGGAAAAGGTACAACATGTTTGTTTAAAGTCAGAAAAAACCACACTAACATAAAGGAGAGATAATTACTAGCAAGTAAATATAAGTGACATAATTGATCTTCTAACAAGTAATAACTACTAACATGTACAGTAAGTTGAGGAAAAACTCCAAATTTAGCTTAGTGCATACCCATTGCTCTAAAACACCACATGAGTCAATATAAAAAATGCTAATAAAATAAATCAGACAGGAAACCGGAATAACCTAATTAATCTCACCTAATTCTTAATGTCCCCTGATAAGACTTATTCCAACCACAAACAAAATAGTGATAATAAATAATGAGATAAAAATAATATGAGGAACAATTTCCATTTATGAGCTGGAAGTTGTGATTTAAATTGGGAAACAATATACTATTCCTCTTTTATATTGATCCAGGAAATTGCAATTTGCTCTTTCTGTTTTCTTCTGCTAATTTTAATATAAGTGTACATGGTAAATAATCTATTCCCAAGGAGGATTACTAAGATATAAACCAATCTCTGAGTTACAGCAATTTTTTTCAATACACATTTGAACAGAAAGGTGACAGGAATAATATTATACAATCATGTACAGTGTAACTAAATATTAAATCAACTTTCAAGTGAGGGATATTCTTTTGATGTGCATGTCAGTCTCACTGGCATGATGTACAAACTTCACAAATCAATATCTTTCAAATGGTACTGAACATTAAACATGGACACAAAGTGGAAATTTATTATTTAAAAAAAAAAAGAAAGAAAAGAAACCATCCACAGTGTGACCCAAGAGTAATATACCAGTATTCTATTTTAGTTTTCGGTTGAGAGGGTTAAAAATATATATTAGCTACATCAAGATGTGTGACATATTGGTTAATTTTTAGTTTTGAGCCAATCTCAGCTGAAGTGAACCTACTTGACCTTACATGTAATGTCATAATATAGCCTCACATAAATTATTAAAATATTGTTACATGTATTTGACCACCACAAACTGGCTTGTCTCTATTAAGCAATTAGATTATGAGCTCGAGATTTCTATTGTGTGGTAGTTTACGAGGGTGCAGCCCAAGTCAACTATCACACATAGAAATCGAGAGCCAATAATCTCATTGTTATTGCGTTCAACGAAGTGGAACGCAAACCTAATTTTGACCTGTGGCTTTTCAGAGTTGGTTTCCCTGTGCACGGTTCTAGGCTGAAAAAAACCACATTCCTGTAAGGACACCAAAATGGCCACCCCGCTTGATTTTTGCAGGGGCATGTCACGGCCAGTAAACTGGTACTGGTACCATTTAATGCTATGTGATGAGACATATGGCGAACATGTGAGTATGTGAGCAGGCCATGTGTGCTCGTCTTTCCGATGGATCTTTTTTTTTGACTTCTTTCCATTCAGTCGCCGTACGCCTCGCTATTATGTGCTCTCAGCGTTAGATTTTGGCGAATTTAAACGCTTCGACGGCAGCATT